TATGAAATATATATATATAATATATATATAAATATATATGAAATATATATATATGAAATATATATATATTTCATATATTTAAATAAATATATATAAATATATATACCTACACAGTACACATAAACGTAATACACATATATGATATAAATAACCATAATATAATGGCTATGTTATTTACTTAGTGAGTCAGTAAAATGTATAACAAAATAAAATACAATACTAATACCTAATGCAATAATAATAACAACAACAACAATAATAATAACAATAATAATTATTATAATTATAATAATAACAATAATAATAATGTTAATGAATGATGAAGATTATGACGACGGTTATTAAATGATGAAGGGTGAATGTGTGCGATTAATTACTGCTGTATGTTACCATTCTGCGTAAAATCCATACATCTTTGATAATAATAATAACAAATGCAATTATTATTATTATTATTAATTTAATTCTTACTGATAATTAAAATGTATGCAACGTAGAAATAATAATAATGATAGCGAAACGGAATTAATCATTATAATTACATTTCAAAGAGAATACACACACACGCACGCACGCACACAAACAGACACACACACAGACACACATACGTACAAACAATCACACACACACATACACACGCACACGTACATATACCGGATATTTACAATTTAACGTTGAACCAATTTTTCAAAAGTAAATACTATCAATATTTAATATAATTACACACACACGTATACACACATACAAACATATAGAAAAGAGAGAGAAGAGAAAGAGAGAGTAATTACTAAAAGAGAGAGAGAAGAGATAAAAGGTAGAGGTCGTAAGAGAAAGACTGAGAGGGAGAGAAAGAAAGAGATAGAGAGAACAAAAAGTACCTATTTAAAAACACAGATACATGTACACAAATACGCCAAAAGTACACACACAAACACACACACACACATAAAAATACACACACAGAACTATAGAAAATGCGCCACTATTACGGTAGCGAGCGAGACGGAACTTTAAAACCAGATAACAATAATAATGTTAACAGCTCTGCACAATCAACTTGGAATGGTTTGGGTTTTCAATTTCAGCAATTCGTCCATCTATTATTTTAGGCGTTGAGTGAATGAATGAAAGAATGAATGAATTGAATTTTTTGGCATTAAGTGAATGAATGAAAGAATGAATGGATAAATGAATAAACGGATAAGTTAAGGAATGAATAAATTAATGGGTGACTGAATGAGTGACTGAATGACTGACACACACACACACACACACACACACACACACACACACACACACACACACACACACACACACACACACACACACACACACACACACACACACACACACACACACCTGAGACTTGTATATATCTTTGATGTCGTGTAAATCCATCTTTATTTCTTCAATCTCTTCCAGCTTCTCCCCGTACATCTGCAATAAGGCGTTGTACCTTTGATCCATTTCCTGTGGTGATGATAGTGATGATGAAGAAGAGGAAGATGATAATGATGATACTGATCGTAATAATGATGATGATGATGGTGATGACGACGATAATGATAATAGTTGAAACGCACAATCACCATTCAAAATCAAAACCCAAAACAGCATTCTCCAAGAATGGACCCAACAGGAATCGAACCTGGAACCTTTTAGTTCCGTTAACAATTAACACTACCACTACACTAACGCACCAAAATAGAACGTCAACAGACCTGGTACTGTTGTTGAATGTCTCTCAACTTATCCATTCGGTCCTGGAGTTCTTCATTCTGCACGGTGACCTTCACGAGCTCTCTCGATAATGATTCGCGGGTTCTCTCAAGGTCGTTAATTTGCGCCTTCATTTTGATGTAATCAAAAAATGAAAATAAAATAGCCGAATGATGAACATTTAAAATAATAATAAATGGTGGTAGTTTTGCTGGTTTTTAATGAGCCAGTCAATCCGCTAGCCGAAAAATAAATGAATCAATCAATCAATCAACCATCCATTTAACTAACCAACCAATTAGCTATCCAACCAATCAGCTGTCCAACCAACCAACCAACTAGCCAACCAACCAACCAACTAATCAACCAACCAACCAGCCAACCAACCTGCAACTGCAGAATCTCTCCGTCTTTCAACTTTAACTGTGACTGCAAGTTCTCCACGACCGAAGTGCCGACCAGTCCGCGAAGACTGTCATACACGGACTGCTGGTGCTGATGCTTGCTACTCATCCACGTCATCGATGACGTGGATGACGTCGGCGTTATTTGTTGGTGGCGTTGTTGTTGTTGTTGTTGTTGATGAGGTTGTTGTTGCGAGTTTTCGGACGAGAATGATTTAGCTGAGAGGCGATCCTGGTAATCGTCCTGAAAAATAAGATGGCCATGATGATGATGATGATGAGGATGGTAATAATAATAATAATAATAATAATGACAAAATCGACTAAAAAGTTGAATAACAAAAACCAAACAAATTAACTCCAAAACCAAAGAACCAACAAAATATGGGGTCGTTGGTGTCGATGATAACGATACCCTATCGTCGTATTGTTGTTGTTGTTGGTTGATACTGCTGCTACTACTGCTACTAGCCATAGTAGTTTTCATGCTTAGTAAGGCTTCCTATACACATTTATATATATATATATATATATATATATATATATATATATATATATATATATATATATGTATGTATATACATGTTTGTGTGTGTGTGTGTGTGTGTATAAGTATGTTTGTGTGTGTGTATGTTTGTGCGTGCTTGCATGTGTAATCTAGTAACAAAAAAACCACCAGCTTAATTCACTATATCAGGGCCACATTCTAAAAAAATATCAAACGATAATGTGTATAATGCGAGACATACATGATTCTAGTAACCAACTACCGGCTTAATTCACCCCGTCAGAGCCACATAATTACATAATTATAACAAATATAAATAATAAATATAACTTATAATTATGACGTCATCAAACAACAAACCTTCTCTCTCAGCTGGTCGGATATGATGTTGTACTTCTTGCGCTCTGACTCAACCCTCATCTTCTCCAACTCCAGCTGGTTTTCCAGCAATATCTTGTTTCGTAGAGATAAATAAAATTACAGTTAATATGGCGATGATGATAATAATAGTAGTAATAACAATAATAATAATAAAAATAATAACAATGATGATGATGATGGTAATGATTGTAGTTGTAAAAAGTACTTTTTCTTTCTTCAAGTCTTTCAGTTCATCTTCAAGTTTTCTGATTTGAGCATCTTTTTGAGCTGTTAACCTTTATGAAATATTATTAATATTTATTTTATATTCATTAATATCTGTTATATATTTATCGTTATATTATTATTTAGTTTTTGTAATATTCAATAGTTTAAATAGATACACACACACACACACACACACACAGGCGCACACACACACACACACAGAGACACCGACGTACACACACGTACATGTGTTTATTCTCATCGAGCAATCCTAATTTGGATTTCTCCATTTCCAGGTCTGCCTTCAGCCGCGCTTTGTCCTGTCTTAGTGATGAAACCTGGCATGCGTGCGTGTGTGTGTGTGAGTGTGTGTGTGTGTATTGATGATAAGATGCGTGTATATTTGTATATATGTTGTTCATGTGTGTTTGTGTGTATGTGTGTATGTGTGTTTATAAGATGAATGATGTATGTCTATGTATGTCAACGAACGAACGAACAAACGAACGAATAAATGAATGAATGAATGAATAAATGAATGAACGAATATGAATGAATGAAAGAAAAGTAAAAAAAACTAAAAAACCTGTAACTCAAGCGAGTTAAGTCTCGTTGTTGTTTCGGCTAATGTTTCGCCAGTTACTCTCTCTTTCTCAACCGCAGATAGCAAGTGATTTTGCGCCTCGTCTGATTGTCGCCGTCGTCGTCAATTATGTCATAATGACGTCATAGTACAAAAAATAAATACGTCATTTGTATTTGGTATTCGGTGTAACTTGTTCGTATCGTATTGTACTGTGTTGTGTTTTATTATTGTAAGCTCTAAAGCGAGTTTTAAGAAGCACAACTTTTATAACCCAATTTCATCATCACCTTCCTCATCATCATTGTTATTATTATTATCGTCGTCGTCGTCATCATCATCTTTTATATAATCATAATTACAACAACAACAACAATAATGATAATAATAATAATCAATCCTCGTCAATAATAATAACAACAATAATAACAATAATAATAATAATTAGTTATTACGAAAGTTATAAAACAAAGGATTACTCAATCTGTCGGAGAGATTTTTTTCAATTTTTTCAAAGTTGATTGCCTGGGCCTGGAATGTAGATTGTATGTTCTCTATTTGTCTCAACAACGGCCTAGTGGCTGTTACGGAACCATTATAATAATATTAATTATAATAATAATAACAATTATGCCCATAATTTTAAATATTTTAACTATAATTATTATTATTATTATCAATTGAGGTATTACCAGTAGACACGCTCTGTGTGAGTTCGTGATTTCGTTCTTCAGCCTCTTGCATTCTCTAAATGGATGCGATTGATTGGTTGGTTAGTTTGTAAGGATTGAATTGATTGGCTGGTTAATTTGTGCGATTTGATGTGATTGGTCGGTTGATTTATAAAACGCTGATGTGATTGGTCGAATGGTTTGTAGGAATATATACAATTGGTCTAAAAATTTGCAAAAATTGATGACGAAATGGATTTAAAAATGAAAATGAAACAAACCAATTGCAAGTCAGCAATTTCTTCCTTCAATCCATCTTCCCTTCTGGAATGTTCCTTCTCCATTCTTGTCATCGACAGCTGCATATCTTCAATCTGTAATAGCAGCAGCAGCAGCGGTAGTAGTAGTAGTAGTAGTAGCAGTAGTAGTAGTAGTAGTAGAGGTAGTAGTAGTAGTAGGTAGTGGTGGTGGTAAGAGCAGAAAGAGTAGCAGTAGTATCATCAAAATTATCATATCTTTAATCTAATGATCTAATAATCATATGATGATATTATTAACCGACCTGAATGTGGAGTTGATTTTCCACTTTCTTGGCGTTCATCTTTTGTTCCTCCAGCCTCTGCATCAGTTGCTCTCGGGTTGACGTCTCGGCAGTCATCGCCATCTTCTGGGCCTCCGTCATGTCTGTCATACGAGCTCTGTGCAGTTCTGACATCTCTCTGATAACGTCGGTGATTGGTCGGTTGAGTGGTGACGTCATTTGTCGGTAGATTGATTGGTTGACTGATTGATTGACGTCATCGTATGACAACAATAATAACAATAGTGGTAATAATAATGATAATAATAATAATAATAAGAAGAAGAAGAAGAAGAAGAAGAAGAAGAAGAAACTATGGCAACTCACTTGTACGAATTATCCAATGCAGACTTGAAGCTTTTTGCTTTCTCCAAAGCATCTTCTAATTCGTTCTAGTGAATGAGTGAGTGAGTGAATGAATGAATAAATTAATGAATTAACAAACGAACAGATGAATGAATCAATCAATGAATGAATAAATCAGTGATTAAATAAGGAAAGAAAAAAAAAAAAAGCAGAACCTTCAGTCTATTAATCTCATCTTCATTTGATTTTAAAGACGAACTCATCTGATTTATTGTCTCTGAAGAAAGGTTCATAATAAAATAAATATAATTAATTATCTATAAATATTATTTTATTAATTTTTATACTATTATTCTCTCTCTTTCCATTTCCCTCTCTCGTTCTTTCTCTCTTTCTCTCTCTGATTTTTCAAGAATTTTCACTTTGCCAATAAGCATTCACTCACTTGTTCAAAATTATTTATTAGAATTATAAATTTATTATTATTTATTTATTAATTATTTATTCAAATTTATTTATTCATTTAATACCATAAAATGAATAAAAAGAAATAAAAATGTGAAATTAATCACCAATATTGGCCTTATCGTTATCAACCATGCCGTTCAGAATGTCCTCCAGTTTAGATATTTCACTGGCTTGGTCTTCAGCTTTTTGTCTGAAACAAATAATAAAAAATGATAAATATAATAAAATAAATAAATACAAATTAACATAAATATATAATTAGAAATTGATTGGTCAATTAGCGTTCATAAAGTGATAGAATGATGAAAAAAAAATGACACACAGGTACAAAAAAAAAAATGAAAACTGACTTGAGATTTTTTATGGCTGTCTCATTTTCTTTATCTTTTATCCTCAACTTCTTCAAGATGTTGTTGGTCTGCAACTGCTGCTTTGATAACTTTTCACCTGAATATTAATTAATTAATTAATTGATTGTTGATTGATTGATTGATTGATTGATTGATTGATTGATTGATTGACTGATTATAAATTGATAATGAATATTAATTGAATATTGATATTGAATATTATTTCGATGGATATATACGAATCGCTTAATGGTTTTCTACGGCTTGTATTTCATTCTAGAAAATAAAAATTTATGACCTGAAATAACTTAAACTGAGCACTGCGTGTTGAAATGTTGAAATATCAAAATCTATATACAAAAATACAAGAAATGAACAGTACAAAATGTATAATACCCTCTGCCAGAAGTTCAGAAATAATCTGCTCTTTCTCTTTTATCACTTTATCACCGGTCATGTTGTCAGATCTTGGAATTCAAAAATTTTCTTTTCAAAATAATCGCATAAAACTACGCACATACGTACACATACACACAGACACACATACGTACACAGACACACACACACTCACACACACACATACATGCATTGCACACAAACACGCAAATGTAAATACACGCACAACAACATCTCACTTTCTAGCTATTTCAGATTCTTGCAGAGCTTTCTTCAACGCATCTCTATCTCTGAGGGCAATGTTCAACCTCCCCTCCGACTCTGCAATCCTTTTCGTAAACTCGTCTGCCACCTGTTTCAAATCTTCCTTCTCTGATTCGTTGATGCTCTCGACCTGTTTCAGTTGGCTGTGATTGGTCGGTTGGTTGGTTGAGTGTGTGTCATTGGTTAGCTGGTTGATTGGCTGAGTGTGTGGTTGGTTGATTGATTGGTAGAGTAATTGATTGGTTGATTGATTAGTTGGTTCATTGATTGGTTGATTAACACAACTCTAACTTTCTAAGGATGGAGTTAGTTTCTTGCAGGTCGATATTTTCTTGACCCAGTTCCAAAACTTTTTTCTCCCTGGCTTCCAATATTTCAACCACTTCGGCTAATTTCTGTGTACGTCGTGAATGAATGAATGAATGAATGAATGAATGAATGAATGAACAAATGAATGCACGAACAAATGAACAAATAAATAAACAAACAAACAAAAGAACAAACAAATAAACAAAATACCTTCATAAGATGATCATTCTCATTGGTCAACTGTACAATTTGATTGCTTTGATCTTTTAGAAAGTTTAAAAAATATTTTTCAATATAAATAAACCTCCCTTGAAAGATGTAAATAGAGTAAAATCCTCAACACACACACACACACACACACACAGGCACGCACACACTCATAATTTTTTTATACACACTCACATCCACGATTAAACTACACACGCACATCACTGATTTTAGTACGCACGCACATCTCTAATTCATCTTTCCTAAGGCTATACCCCACCTGCGTTGTTACTGATGTGTCTCTTGTGTCTTACATCCACAAAACCACCACCCCTGTTATACTCCAGGCATACAAAATCTTCACCATTTCTACTTTGTAGGCTTTGGCTACTGGAGCCACTATCTGAGCGCCTGTGGCATGTATTGGGGCTGCCATTTCTGTATGTGTGTGTGTGTGTGTGTTTGTGTATGTGTTGGTGTGTGTTTGTGCATGTGTTGGTGGGTGTTTGTGTATGTGTTGGTGTGTGTTTGTGTATGTGTTGGAGTGTATGTGTTGGTGTGTGGGTGTGTATGCGTTGGTGTGTGTTGGCGTGTATGTGTTGGTGTGTGTTTGTGCGAAACTGTGTGTTTGTTTTTAGGTAATTTTTTACGTAACAAATGTGAAATAAACTATAAAACGAAGAAGAATAAAAAAATTAAAACAAGAAAAAAAATATCCCCCAAACACCTTTTCAAAACGAGTTTATTGGGAGGTGAGAGATCGCAAAAACTCTGCCCCAGTGACGCACCACCACCAACACCGACACCACCACCGACACCACCACCACCGATCATTGAAATCTTCTCTAGGTAGCTGGACGTTTGCCGACTGCTGTTGGTGCCTAAAAAACTAGGTGTAGACATCTGTGAAATGATCTCGATGTCGGAGCTTGTAGTAGTGTCAATTTCATCGGCCGAAGTGTGTCCACTGTGATTGCCTGACTCTGCAACTTGGGTGTTGTTGTTGTTTGGCATTAGTTTTGAGTCGTCGTGTTGTTGTTGTTGTTGCTGTTGTTGTTGTTGTTGTTGTTGGAGATTGGAAGTGATGACGTTTAGAGGGTTGATGAATTCGAAGCCAGGAGTTTTATCGTTATCAAAAGGTGGCGATGTTTTTTTCACGTTGCTGCTGCTGCTACTGCTGCGGCTGCTGCAGTTATCTTCAATGGCTTCTTTGAGTAGTCTTTGTATTGTTGTCGTGTCGTCGTCATCACCACCATCATCGTTTTTGTTGTTGTCGACACGATCTTGTTGTTGTTGTTGTGGAAAATCTTTCCGTTGTTTCTGTGGTTGTTGTTGAATGGCTTGCTGGTCTGAATTTAAAATCAGAATGATAGAGAGTAGTGAGAATGAAAATTTTATATTTAAAAATTTACTGACCAATCATAGAAGGGGAAATGTACTATGGTATAAAACAAATTGGAGAAGCTATACACGCACGAACGTGGGCGGACCACACGCAGTTGGTTATGCGTACAAATTCAAAAATATCTAACCATTCAGGTCGTCACCAGCAACAAGAAACGTGGAAAAATTGTCAGAAGACGATGATGATGTGCCATCTATTCGAGATGGAATAAATTAAAAACATCTCAAACGTAAATAAAAAATTTACTTTTAAACTTTCATTATCAACATTTTCGGCCACTATCGCCATCATCGTAATCACCACCACCATCATCATCATCACCCTCATCATCATCATCATCACCATCATCATCATCATCATCACCATCATCATCATCATAACCACCACCACCATCATCATCATCATCATCATAACCACCACCACCATCATCATCATCATCATCATAACCACCACCACCATCATCATCATAACCACCACCACCCTCATCATCATCATCATCATAACCACCACCACCATCATCATCATAACCACCACCATCATCATCATAACCATCATGATCACCATCAGCATCATCATCATCCTTATCATCGTTGTTATCACCATTTACTTACCAATAACGGTTTTATTACCGTCAGATGTTTCGTCACTAACATAGGAAGAGCTGTTCTCAACTGATGAATAGCCTTTAATAAACAGCATCAGATAACATCTCATTACATAAATTAAATAACATCCCATTACATTAAATAACATCCCATTACATTAAATAACATCATATTACGTTAAATAACATCCCATTACGTTAAATAACATCCCATTACGTTAAATAACATCCCATTACGTTAAATAACATCCCATTACGTTAAATAACATCTCATTACGCTAAATAACATCCCATTACGTTAAATAACATCCAATTACGTTAAATAACATCCCATTACGTTAAATAACATCCCATTACGTTAAATAACATCCCATTACGTTAAATAACATCACATTACATTATATTAGACCAAAAACAACACAGACATTAAGAAACATTACATCAATCCAAATTACATTGAATAAATCGCAACAAATAACATCACAGACACAGCAAATAACATGGAAACATTACATAAGATTCTAAAACTTTAAATGACATCAATTTTCTGAAACGCCTGCATCAGCAGCTAATATTACATTAAATAACATTAAAATGTCATATAATAAACAGGCAACAACACAGCACAAAAACATTACAGTAAGTAAATTCAAGTAAGTTGGGCTTGAAATGTTATATCAACACTAACCAGTTAATGTAGTGCCAGATGTCGACTGTTTCAACAAGCCAAAGAAATCGCTAGTCTGATCTTCTATAATGTCGTTGCCGTCGGCATTTTGTTCCGTGTTTTCGTGAATTTCTTGTTGTTGTTGTTGATGTGTTTGCTGCTGTTGTTGTTGATGTGTTTGCTGCTGTTGTTGTTGATGTGTTTGTTGTTGTTCATGATTGGCTAAGTTTGTTGATGTTGATGTTGATGTTATATTTGCCGCTGTTGATGTCATATTTGCTGTTGCTGATGATGTATTAGTTGTTGTTGCGACTGACGTCATAGATTCTGGTGACATTTGTAATGCTATCCTAGTTTCGGCTGATGATGATAAGGTAGGTACATTCAATGAGTAAATGATTTGCTGATGGGATTGTTGATTAAATGCTGCTGTTGCAGCTGCTGATGTTAATTTTTTCTCATCATCATTATTACCAGCATCATCGTCATCATCAGTAAAGTTCTCCGTTACTTCTTCACTAATGATGTTATCATTTTTCAATTTTACATCACTAGCGTCATTCCTGATGGTAATTGTAATGGGATTTGATACCACTGTATTATCATCATCGTCGTCGTCGTCTTCGTCATCGTCATCATTGTTATCATCGGCATTGTTATCATGGAGTTTTTTATTAACCATTTTATCATTGTCATCATTGTTGTCTTCGTTTGTAGAACTATCAGAGGCATCATTTGGTGGTGACATCAAATGAGTGCTTGCAACATCAGCAGCTGCATTTGTTGAAGATGTTATTGTAGCTGCTGCTGCTGCTGATGTTGTCGATGTCATTGATGACGTCATTGATGATGCCACTTTCGTTGATGACGTAGAAGTAGCGACTACAGCCGCTGCTGCTGATGTTGGTGTCGTGGCCACTGGTGATGACGTTTTCGTTAACGACGTCACTGATGTAGTTGATGATGACATCACTGTGTTGTTGTTGTTGATGATGCAACTGCAACGTCATCAGCTTCCATATCAGTTGACGTCATCATCTGACTTAAACTCGCATCACTCCAACATTTTGAGAAATCAGTTTCATTGATATTATCACTTGGCAGCATGTCCAAACTATGCTTCTTCATCACGTTATCATCACCATCACCCTCATCATCATCAGTTTTGGTATCATCATCAATTTTGGTATCATCATCAATTTTGGTATCATCATCAATTTTGGTATCATTGCTAACATTTTCAACAGCATTACCATCAATTTTAATAACATACTTTCTGTTATAATTATTTTCATCATAATTTTCAACACATCTTTTATCATTGTCATCATCATCTTTAATATCTATCATTGATTTTATCATCATTCTATCCTTCTCATCATCATTAATGAGTGAAACATTATGGCTATTTTGTGTGAAAGTGTGGTTTTCGGATTTGGGATGTATGAACGAATCACACTTTTCTGGTTCACCCTCATTTTGTTTGTCTGTTTGCTTGTTTGTAGTGAGATCAAATTTTTCTGGCAAAACTTCACGTGTTGATTTAGTTGCTGGTTCATGTTTTGTTACACTGAATGCTTCCCATTCATCACCCTCTGTCAAAGTTAAACTAGCTTTCGTTTTCAATTCGGTACTTTTTTTAGGGGTCTCTTTAAGTTTAACTTTTCTAAAAGCAGACCGGCTTGATACAATTAAATTTGTATTCTTTGGTGAGCTATCATAATCATACAATTTGGCTTCCTCATTATCACCCAGTTCATTTTTTGCCAAGCTGAAATCCAACAGGGATGATGACGGTGTGGAATATGTTGATTCGGTTTTCAATTTTTCTGTTGTGTCTAACTCGGTGGTCGTGCTGGGATGGGTCGGAGTGTTTTCTTTCTCTGGGGTCAGCCATTTGCTAAAAAAACTGTCATCTTTTTCTTCATTGTCTGGTATTACTGATGGGCGGTGTAGAGTTTCATAGCATATTTATTTATTATTAATATTCAAGTATTAATTTAAGTATCATTCAAATCATAGATACCTATTTTAAGATCATTATTTATGAGTAAAGTCTGATCTGTGTGCTAAACTGAAAGGGAAATACCAAAAAAAAACCTAATTTAAAAATCTTATCTGAGTAAAAGTAGGCAGATAAGATGGATATAAAGATAGGTAGATTGGATAGATTAGTAGTTGATCAGTATGATTGAAAGATAAAATAGATTGATTAGCATTAGATTAGAGAGATAGCTTGATTGATTGATCTCTAGATAAATTACATTACATTACAATTACAGATTACAGACACCTGACGATCCGACTGAATATTATATCTCCAAATTAATAAATTATTTAATAAATTAAATAAATTAAACCAAATTAAAAAACTTGTATTATTATCCTCTTTGATGTCCAAAACTTTGTCAATTTTTTTCTGGGCAGTTTTCAACGCCTGAGTTGCAAATGAAGTGAACTGCTTCGTATCCCACCAGCTCATCTTCATTTCACTAATTCCTAATTAATTACGTTTAATTATTGATTATTTCACTAATTATTATGTTGTAATTATTTATATTTATTTATTTATTAATTTTGTCATTTAACATTTAAATGTCCAGCGGACGTAAACATAAACACATAGGTATTGCACAAAGATAGATAAATGAATAAAATTATTAATGTATTATTATTATTGTAATTAATTAAATACTAATTGGTTAATTGATTAATTAAACATATTTAACGATAAATATGTTGGTATATATACTGTTTATTTATTTTAAATAGTTATATTCTCTAATTTATCAAATTTAAATTCAAATTTATAGAAAAAAAAGTCGCCAGAGTTAAAAATAATTTTGAAATTTTTATATTTTAGTTAATTTATTTTACGAAAGTTTAGTCATTTCTGAATAATATAATAAAAAAATATTAAATTGAAAAAAAAAATCAAATCGCCCCTGGGTGGATTCGAACCACCAACCTTTCGGTTAACAGCCGAACGCGCTAACCGGTTGCGCCACAAGGGCCGATAACGAATAGAGCTTTGTTTACAGTTTCATTTTAATTTTATAATGTTGCAAACAATTTTAAAATTGAAAAAATTGAAATAAATTATTTTATCTAAAAATTCACGTTAAATAGTATCTTGAGTTGATCAATTTGTACGATGCACCAAAAATTTTTAAATTTTGTTTTCACAACTACTGTTAAATTAATTATATATTTTTATACGTGACCCCATGGATATATATCCATGCGTGACCCTTCCTTTTCTAAGCAATGTAATCGTAATGGGTAATCTGTAATCAGTAATCGTAATGTAATGTTTAAAATGTCGGTTTTCGACATTTGATACCGCAAAACGTATACACACAATGTAGCATGTAAGAGTGCATTAAACAGTTGAGTATGAGTATAGAATTAATATGCTTAGTTAAGCTTGCATTCAAACCAGGTTACTGCAACACGAGAAACAGGCACTCATACTATTGAGGTACCGTAACGCCCATTGTAACTTGGCTAATTTATTCATATTTTAATATTTTACAACCGAAATCGGCAATCTTTGTCCCATAAATGAAGAAAAATGACATTAAGATTAAAAAAGTACAATTTACCGTTAAATACGCAATACAAAGGACGTACATTACATTGATAAGCACCGATGAAGTATAAAAACCATGGATATTATATATATCCATGATAAAAACATATACACAATTCATAAAAATGGTATAAAAATACACATACACCTGAAAGAATAAGATGGTATCAAAATATAATAATTTGTTTCTTAAATGCAGAACTTAAAACTTTTAAATCAGAAAAATAATTAGGTCGTTTTGTGGTTATACAGTCGTTAATCTATTTGTGAGCACATCTTCTGAGTTCCTACTTGGGTAATCATCTTCATCTATCCGACTCGGAGCAAACTGAGGATGATGAGCATGGTAGATACGGTTACTATTCGGTACATGGCTGGCTTCGTCAATATTTTTATCGATATTAGGTCCGATTCTTTCGTTTGTATCGTCTGAATCATCCAATCCTTTCCTTCGTCGCCAACATTTTTGCAAGGCTCTTGCCAGTATCACAAGCAGATCGGGAACAAGTTGGCAAACTTCTAGCAGAGTTATCACTGATATGCCTGAAAGTTATCACTAAGGTAGACATATTTGATGTTTTAAAAAAACAAAGAAGAATTTAGAAAAATTAAAATAATTGAGAAATTTAGACGTCCCAGAAATTACAAAAACATAAACCTATCCAAAGTCCCATCTGTCCACCAATATCAGATATAAGTCTGAACATGTCATAGTCCGGTGATTCAGTTGTCTGAATGACATTATTGTCGGCTATGTGCACGTTCACTCGCGTCAGCTTCCTCTTAATGACATCAAGATAATTCTCGCCATATCTAAGTCGTTTAAATCGTTATAAATGTAAATAGTTTGTTAATGACAGGTGAATCGACAAATGTAATAAATCAATTGGTAATAGCAGCGGTAATTAATGTAGCGTTACTTATTCTTCAAGTCCATCTTGGTTTCTTTCGACAGGGACTCGGCGTGTTTGTCAACGAGAGAGTAGAATGCACTGTTCTGTTTGAGGTTTTCAGGCAGTTTTGAGAGGCCGTAGGTGGTGTCATACATGACGTCTTTACACGGCGGGTGGCACTGACACTCTTCTATTGATTCAGGCTTCTTGATGGTCATCTGGTCGTAAATTTGTTCTCTACATTTCGTCTTTCGGATAAATTCCAGAGCAGCTTTCTTAATTCTTGCCTGACACTGTGCAGTGGTTAAGTTTTGAGGATCGCTACACGTTTCGCCGAGGGATGGTATGCCCAAGCAGAAGGGCAACCTTTTGGATTTTGATGAAAAATTTATTAAGTCTTCTTGTTTATAAGGCATTAAACTATCAATGCATTTACAGGCTTCGGCTATTTTGGACTGGATGCATTGATTTTGACAGGATATTAAAGTGTACTTGAATGAATTGCGAGTTGTATGGTCAGATTCCGGAGTGCAATTTCCATGAGGTAGGGATACTCGAACATTTTGGCGAGCACGGACGCCAATGTTTGCTGAAAAGCCACTGGGAATGTCGTAACCGTCCGTGGTGAAGTGAGGTATGGAGTTGTGCGAATGAATGACGACCTTTGTTCCTTGGTTGTTGGCTAAAGCCGGATCCGCCTCTATCATTCCTGGGATCATCGTCATTTCCTGGTCGCCACCTCTCTGACAAAATAATTAATTAGTTTTTTTTTAATAATTATTAGGAAAAAAAGAATGAAAATTAGGAAAAAATTAGTAAACGAGCAAGTCCATTACTTTTGATAAATGGCCAGCACTTCCGGAGAAAAGCAGAAGAGTTAATCCGTACTCGATGCCAGCCAATCTGGTCGCCTTCGATCCGAGCAGCTTGTGAGGCTCGAACGTGTAGCAGTTGAAGAAGTATGGGTCGAATATCTTCGTGAACTTGCTCATGTCACATTCCTCTTCCATGAACCTGCAGTAGACGATGAACTCTTCGGCTCTGTCGTGTGTTTTCGATGGTTTTTGGTTTGTTAGTTGGTAGTATTCAGCCCACCCAGTCACTCACTCACTCACTCACTTAATCCCGGACTTGGAGGCTGACCATGGCCCGATATTTGCCATAAGACCCACCCTGGACATGAGTTCCAGAAAGTTGCCCATACCCACAGGGTCCGCGGGACTGCCAGCGTCACTGTGGAAACTTTTCCACTGCATCACAGCGTTCAAAGCCGTCTGAAATGTCTGATACTTGTCTCTGAATATTTCTTCATCCGTTAAGTTTGTTGATCTGCTGTTGTTGTTGTAGCTGCTGATGATGACGTCATTTTTGTCTTGCTTAATCTTAAGACTGTTTTTTGCTCTTTCATTTTTCTTGTTTTTCTTTTTAAATCTTGTGTTCTTCATGGCAGAGCGTTTTGATGTTTTCGACTTTTTGTTTTTTGGTTTGCCTTCAGGAAAGAATTTGTTTTGTTTCAAACTTTTTTGCAAGCCTGAAATTAAACAACTCATCATCACCATCACCACTACAACAACAACATTATCATCATCACGGCCATCATCATCATCATCTTCGCTATTAGCATCCTCACCATCGTCATTGTAGTCATCACTTTCAACATCAGCAATGCGTAGCAATTTCTTAATATTGTTTAGTTATAAAAACTCATCTTTTTCAGGGCAATACCTTAAAACATAATACAATACAATACATAACAACACAACACAACACAATACAACGCAATACTATACAATACAATACAATGCAATACAATACAATATAATACAATACAATGCAACACAATACAATATAACACAACACAGTACAGTACAATACCATACCATACAATACAATACAATAAAATGTATTCCAAAATATTGCAAATTTCTAAATTCTTTAAGGATTGTTAAACGTTAAATGCGTAACACCCCAGCTAATACGATACGATAAGAAAAATCAATAAGAAATTGACAATCATAATGATGACGACGACGACGATGATGATAGTGATGATGCTGTTGTTGATGATGATGGTGTTGTTGTTGATGATGATGGTGGTGTTGTTGATGATGATGATGGTGTTGTTGGTGATAATAACAAAGAGGGTGAAGATGATGGTGATAGTGATAAAATTATTAATATAATGATGATTGCGCTGATAATGAAGATGATGAATAAGAAACTTTTACTACTGCTACTACTACTACTACTACACTATTACTACTACTACTGCTGCTGTTACTACTACTGCTGCTGCTACTTCTACAAAAACAACTACTACTACCATGAAAGTGTATGTGTGTATGTATGTATGTGTATGTGTATGTGTGTGTGTGTGTGTGAGTGTGTGTGTATGTGTGTATGTATGTATGTATGTATGTATGTATGTATGTATAAAAATCAATGTTGGGCTGTGTTTATGTTACCTTCATTATTTCTACCATCCCTGTGATCGTCGTCATCGTCATTTCTCTTGTTTAAATCCTCCGAATTATCATTGCTTGCATAATCGTCGTCCTCATGATCAACATCATCATCATTGTTGTTGTTGTTGTTGTTGTTATTTTCGTCATCGTTGTTGTTGTTGTGTTGGTAACTTTCGGTTCCTACATTTCCTCCACCATCATCATCTTCTTCATCTGAATAATCATCACCCAAGTCGTCATTATCATTTCTATCATCACCATCATCGTTCTCGATGACGTCATCATCATCGTCGTCGTCGTCGGAAAAAAACTTTTCCATGGCGTCGACGATTTTGAAGTGTAGATGGTCCGTGTTGCAGACAGTTACTGATGGGAAAGCAACTGGTTTCTGTACTATTTCAACGTTAACCTGTGCGTGTATATGTGTGTGTTTGTTCGTGTGTGGGATAGTAGTTTTATGCAATGTATGAGTGCATGTGTGTGTTGTGTAGTAGTGTATTTGTTTGAGTGTGTGCGCGTTTGAAGAAGTATGCGTAGC